GCCAGGGAGTTTGAAAAGTCCATGAGGAAGGAAACTTGAATTACTGTTTATTTTTTTAACTTATTTTCCTCGGCATTCTTTGCATTTTTTCCCTGGCAAAATGGTGAACTGGTTCCCCGTGAAATAAAAAGAGAAATAGTAATTAAAGCTTCCACGTTCATCCCCAGAACAGAAGACCACACAACTTAATTAAGAAAAATCAACGAAGCGACCCAGGAAGAAGGGATCCACTAAGTAACCCCTCCAGTCACGACCAATTGGGAGCAATTAAACCAAGTGCTGCAGGGAGAAGAAACCTTTAATTAAAAGAACAAGAGCCCAGGATTTTATCTTCCCTACCATCACTGCAATAGCAGATATATAATTGCAAAGCCAAGAAAGGCTAAAAGATGTCATCCTTGACAGTCAAGTTATAATTATTTGGAACACTGTTAAATGCGCACACACAAAAAGTCGAGAATAAAAGACTTATGGGATTGTATTTTACAGCTGTTTCCAGATCTACAGGTAGTCCTCAACTTACAGCAGTTTGGATATCCATTATCGGACGCATCATGGGTGCATAAAGTGAATATATAATGCACCCGGCCTTCTGGCTAGGTTCCACCGTTTGAATTCCACGAAACCAGGTGGGGGCCGTATGCCATGACATAACCTAACCATGTTATTTGTTCTCCAGCTACCAGCCCTGTGGTAGGGGGGGCCGCATGTCAGCCCTGTTAGCCCTCCTAGCGCAGGTTGACTCAGCCTCCTATCCTTCCGAGGTGGTTAAAATGAGGAGACCCAGATTGTTGGGGGGGGCAAGAGGCTGACTCTGTAAACCTCTTAGAGAGGGCTGCAAAGCACTATAAAGCGGCCTATAAGTCTTAAGTGCTACTGTTATTGCTATAAAAGGCCCCCTCGGATAAAGGATGACCAGAGCTCATCGATGCAAGCTAAAATTGCATCGAGGGTTGAGATGGGGGTGTTTGGCACTCATGGCCTTCGATTCGACGCCTGCAATTCCTGCCTGCTAACCGCACCTCTCAAGCTGAACCCCGCCAGTCTTGCCTCGAACCCACACTTTAAACCCCCGATATTCCAGAGCTTGAACTTGAGGTTGCAGGCATGCCAGTTGGAAACTCCTGAAATCAAATCACAGGCCTATTTTGGAGCGGGAAGGGGGGTGACGGCGGGGACGGAATAGAAAGAACCAGGCGTTTTAAGCTGTTATGCTTGGAAAAGCGTGAAAGGGGGGCAGTGGGTGGGGTTGTAGAGAAAATGGGACAGCGTAACAATTGCACAAACTTTTTGGGGGTAAGGGGAACGGACCCAACCGAGGAAGGGTGGGGGGGAGAGAGAGATTAGATACTTGGAGCAAACATCCACCCCCGAGTTTCCTGCCATTGTGTAGCCCGGGGCAGGGCGGGAGGGGGCTTTGTGTGTGTGGTGGGGGGAAGGAGCTGAAGAAAGGGTAGGCCTGCATAAACACTTAACGCAGGTTTCCTTTGGATCCCTTCTGCCCAGTCAACGCCCAGGTCTTATTGTAAAAAAAATGTGGGAAGGCTGGAGCAGCCAATAATTTGCCCTCTAACCTTTAATCTTCAGAGCCAGATGGTAGCTTTGGCCCAGGAAAAGAAAAAGAAAAAGAAAAAGAAGGAAAAAGAAAGGAAAGGAAAGGAAAGGAAAGGAAAGGAAAGGAAAGGAAGGAAGGAAGGAAGGAAGGAAGGAAGAAAGGAAGGAAGAAAGAAAGAAAGAAAGAAAGAAAGAAAGAAAGAAAGAAAGAAAGAAAGAAAGAAAGAAAGAAAGAAAGAAAGAAAGAAAGAAAAAGAAAGAGAAAGAAAGAAAGAAGGTGGGAGGGAGGGAGGGAGGAAGGGAAGAAAAGAAAGAAAGAAAAAAAGGAAAGACAGAGAGAAAGAAGGAGAAGAAAGAAAGGAAGATAGGGAGGGAGGTAAGAAAGAGAAAAAGAAAGAGAAAAAAGAAAGAAAGAAGAGAAGAAGAAAGAAGGTGAGAGGGAGGGAAGAAGGAAGGAAAAGAAAGAAAGAAAAAGAAAAGAAAAAAAGACTGTAAGAAGAAAGGTGGGACGGAGGAAGAAGAAGAAAAAAGAAAGGAGAGAGAGAGAGAAAGAAGAAGAAAGGGAGGGAGGTAAGAAAGAAAAAGACAAGAAGGTGGGAGGTAGGAAGGAAGGAAGAAAAAGAAAGAAGAAAGAAAGAAAGAGGAAAGACCGAAAGAGAGAGAGAAAGAAAGAGAACTGCACAACCTTGCTAGTAATTAACATTTCTAATTTTAAAGAGGAGAAAAGATCAGACATCATACAGACGGACAGCTATTTTCAGCAAGTTTCTTAACCCCTCTGTCTGTGTGAATTCATCACCATTTCCTGACTGAGTTTTGAGTCTCTGCATCTGGCAAGGAAAGCTGCCTGCAAAGGACTTGCCCTGCCAAAGGTGGCAGTCCCTGTGCACTCCTTTCACAAAAACAATAAGCTCGTTCGAAAATCAGCTTGCTTCCTTTTGACTTCTGGAAGGCTGGCCCAGCAGCTGGACACGAAGAAGGCATGGAAAAGGGATGTTTTTAAAAACAACAACGCAAGAATGGTTTAAAAAAAAAAAAGCAGAGTTTCTGCGAACCTGCCCTGCTTCGATTCAACAATACTGGGCATCAAACTGAAAATCTTCACTTCATACTAGGTCGGGATGTTTAAAAACCCGGGAGGTCATCTAGACTAACCCCCTGCTTGAGCAGGAGACCCTATATATGCCATTCCAGACAAACGGCTGTCCGGTCTCTTCTTTAAAAGCTTCCAGTGATGAAGCGCCCGCAACTTCTGAAGACAACTTCCATTCCACTGGTGGGTTGTCCTCCCTCTCCTTGGCACCCGGGTGGCCACCATTTTGACTTTTTTGACTGTAGTCTGAAGATCCCCTTCGTGCAACATTTTTCAGCTGTCCTTGAATGTTTTTAGCAACACGACCAGGGCAGAATTGGAATTAAATTTGATGGCCTTTTCTTTTTTTAATTTTTATTATGCTTTTTCAGTTTGCACACATCTTTAACACATTTTTGACAGCGCTGTGACATCACTGTTACATATATATATATATCTATATGTGTGTGTGTGTGTGTGTGTGTGTGTGCGTGCGTGTGTGTGTGTGTGTGTGTATTTTCGTGGGTACTTTACATGTATTCAGCTTTGTTCGGGTATTTTCCCACTACCAAACAAAGCTGAATACCATACATACATACATACACACAGTGCCCCCTTCTGGTGGATAACCCACAGTGCTCCCAAAAGTCTGGGAAATGAAATCGTCCCAATCTTAAAAGTTGCCAAGACGGACAAACACTGGATTTTTTTTGTTAAATCTATAGGATCTCTTCCAACTATGTTTCCAAAAGCAGCCTTTCCACCACACCAACTTCTACTATGTATGGTGTAAAGACCCTGTCCATTAAGAAGGATGACCTGGAGTTTCTCTTCAGGTTTTGCTCCTAAGGAAAATAAAATTTTGGACAATTATTTCCATGATAAGGAAGGCAGAAATCCCGATTTATGCAGGTTCCATTGTTCCCCTGGATATTACCCTTTCTAAACCATGGGCCTTGAACCTGGGAATTGGTTTTTCACGGAAAAGAATGAAAGATAGCAAGCAATTAATCAACCCAGCAATCAATCAGTATTAAAATATAAAACTCCAAAGTTGTTTAGCTGGATGCAGGATGGATCATTGGAACTTTATTATTATTATTATTATTATTTGCAAAAGCTTTCTGTAAATAAATACAACAATAGAATGCTTGTTAACATGTAAATAATATTCTTGGGGAAAATGATGGTTTTTTTTTTTTTACCATAGTATATCCCACATTTCTCTGATTGCATGACTGATGTAAAAGGTGGGAAATTGTTCCTTTAAACCAAAGGGGGGGAGAATTAGATGCCCAAAATCACCTCTCCCCACCAAAGTCAGTCTCTCAAAACTCTGCTATCGTAACAGTAGGAAAAAAATAATAATTCTCCAGTCGTGTATTTGCTTCAATTAATTAATCTGTTCCCCGCCCCCATTTTAATTGCATTGAAATGTCAATAAAATACTCCTCCTTCTATCCCTGCCCACTAACGGGCTTGGAAAATAACTAAAAATCTAGACCACATTATTTCAAATTTGTCTCACCATCAAGATGTCTCGTGTTTCTTTAATCCAATGAGTTGAGGCTGAAAAGGGGACCTAGAGAGGAACTAGTCGAGAAATGGGAGGGAAAGGTAACATTTTGCACAGGAATCTTCAGATCTAGCGGTGCCTTTACTGCAACCATTTAGACTTAGTAAAAGATCCTATCACTTCAACCAAGTTGGTCCTCAACATCAATAAGACCAAGGAGCTTATAGTGGACTCTAGAAGGAACAGATCAGACCTCCAGCCCTTTTGCTTATCGATGGAGACCGAGTGGAGCAAGCGGCCAGTTTTAAGTTTCTGGGTGTTGCTCTAAAAGAGGACATGACCTGGGGTTGCTCACGTTGCAGCCCTGGTCAAAAGAGATTATACTACCTGAGACTTCTCAGAAAACAACAACTGAATGTAAAACTGCTGGTGACCTTCCTTCTACCGCTGCACCATAGAGAGTATCTTAACTTACTGCGCATCTGTGTAGGGTTTGCCAATTTCACAGGGGCAGGGAGGACGGCGCTCCAGAGGGTGAACGTCATTGCCCCTCAGAGGATCCTGGGTTGCCCTCTCCCCTCTTTGGAAGAGCTTTATCGCTCCCGCTGCCTTAAGAAAGTTCAAAAGATCCATCTCATCCTGGGAAACCCCGCCCCCTTTTTTGAACTATTACCACCTGGCAGACAGTACAGGATAATAATAAAAACACAGACAAATAGGCTGAAAAATCACTTCCATCCCGGGAGCTCTGTTGAATTCTACTGTATAGTGCAGTGTTGATGTGGTGTCAGCGTTTTTCAATTCAATGTGTGGAGTGGGAAGGATGTGTGTTTGTGTTTATTTTCATGGTCATGATGTGCACTGAAGATGGTGTTCGATTTCGTTGTACGAGGTGCAATGACAATAAAGTAAACTAAACAAATGGGAGTCGGGGGTCTTACTTTCCCAGGGTCCTGAGCTGGGGCAGGTCTGACACATGGTGGACCCAATTCAACTCTTGAAGTTGAAAAGATCCCAGCCCCCAAATGCCACCATGTGAGCCGGGTCACATCTGAGGCTGCCACGCATTGGGCTTGGCCGCCGGATCTCTCCCACAGTTGGAGTCCGGAAGGTTTAGCAGGAGCAGGGCGCCCCCTGAAGCCGTCTTCAGGCTGAGCACACTGGGCACGGTGTCCTGCTGCGTGGTCCCCCGCAAGCTCTGCAGGCAGGGCTGCCAGTCTGAGGCAGCCTCCAGCGTCTCGCCCTTCAGGCTGTGCATGCGCTGGTGTTTGAGGAGGTTGGCGCTCTGGCCAAAGGCTCGTTGGCAGTGCGGGCATTCAAAGGGCCCCTCCTTGCCCATGTGGATACGCTGGTGCCGGATGAGGGTGGATCCCCGGCGGTAGGTCTTCTCGCAATGGGGACACTGGTAGGGCTTCTCTCCGTCGTGCAGCCGCTGGTGGCGCATGTACTCCTGCCGGCAGGTGAAGGTGGAGCTACAGGAGGCGCAGGGGTATGGCTGCTCCCCGGTGTGGATCCGTTGGTGCCAAACGAACTCCTGCTTGTAGCGGAAGGTCTTCTCGCAGCCGGGACACCGGTAGGTCTTCTCTCCGGTGTGGCTCCTCTGGTGCCAGGAGAACTCCTGCTTGAAACGGAAGCTCTTCTCACACTCCGGACACTTGTATGGCCGGTCACCGATGTGGGCCCGCTGGTGCCACATGAACTCCTGCTTGTACCGGAAGCTCTTCTCGCACTCCGGGCACTTGTACGGTCGCTCCACCGAGTGGGTCTTCAGGTGCCACGTCAGCTCCTGCTTGAAGCGGAAGTTCTTCTCGCAGGTGCCACATTTGTGGGGCCACTCCGCCGTGTGGGTGCGCTGGTGCCACGTCAGCTCCTGTTTGTGCCGGAAGACTTTGGCGCAGTCGCTGCACCGGTAGGTCTTTTCTCCGGCGTGGACCTTCTGGTGCCAGCTGTACTCGTGGGCGTATCGGAAGGTCTTGTCACACTTCGCACACTTGTAGGGTCTCTCGTCCTTCAGGACACCCCTTGGGCGGACGCTCGGCGTGGAGCAGTGCGTACAGGAGCAGGGCAACACCCCAGTTTGGCTTGGGGGTTGAGCGAGGGTCGGGGGGCTCTTAACACAGCCGTTCTCACATGCAGGGCACACCTGCCCCAATGCTCCACGGTGCATCACTGTTGGGAGAGCAGAATGGATGGGAAAACATTTCTGGCACTGGGTGCAGATCAGTAGCATCTCCTCGTGGGCGCCTGCCTGGGGAGCAGCGACACTCAGGGGGCAGAGATTGCTTTTCCCAGCCTCTGGAGGGACAGACTGAAATCCCGCCGGCAAAGCCTGTTTCCCCACCGGGCTGCAGTTTGCCCACTTGGACCCCGCGTCCCAGGGAGACAAAACTCGGTTGACTGCAGAATCCGGCCTTAGGGAGCCTCCTGGCCGCCAGGGCTGCTGCTCAGAGAGGGAACCGGGGTCTTGGCTCCCCTTCCAGGCCAGTGGGCAGCAGGGCAGTCCTGTCTCATCTTCATCCAGCGGAGGCTCCCGTTTGATGGTTGGCCGGCCACCTGCTGGGACAAGAGAGCAAAGAAAAGCACTACGCAAATTCAGGAGAGCAAAACCACCATATAATTGGATGGGGCAGCAATGGCACATTACAAACTCCAAGTAGGGGAGTCCTCACACAATGGCCACCCATGGAGGGGGGGTGGGGAGGGACTTTTACAAAACATTTGTCTCCACAAGACGCGCCCCGTTGCACTGGGAAGGTTTCCTACCAACCCAACGTGGCAACTTCTCCTTTTGGCTGCCAAAGCTCCTGAACTGATCCAGGGGGTTTGGACTAAGCCTTCTCTAAAATCCACTGCCAGTGGTGGGATTCAATTTGTTTTTACTACCAGTTCTGTGGGCATGGCTTGGTGGGCGTGGCAGGGGAAGGATATACTACAAAATCCCCCTTCCCTCCTCACCCCACTAACCTGCTTTTCAGCTCCGTTCTCCTGGGCAGGGCAACCAAAGGAGACCCAGCCAATCAGCTGGGACTCAGGAGGCAGAGAATAGATGGGGCGGGGCCAGTCAGAGGCGGGATTGGCCGGTTCTCCGAACTACTCAAAATTTCTGCTACCGGTTCTGTAGAACCGGTCCGAACCGGCTGAATACCATCTCTGATCCCCTCCAACCCTTTGATTCTAACAAGGCAGTGTGGTGAGCTGGCCGTCCCCAATGCTTCTCTGCCCTCCAAATTTATTCACACCTCTACCGCAGAAATTCCCAGCTTCCCTGGAATTGAAGTCCAGCCCTGATTTCTTCTCCTCCCTCCAAGGAGGATAAACCCTCTTCCTGGTTCCGCAGCTAAAGACGTACCCCTCAAATTGTCCTTCGAATCCTCTCTGGATTTGGGGAACTGTGCTCTCCCCACACAGGGCTTCTCCCAGCCTTCGATCTGCAGGAGGACGCTGGGGGG